CTAAAGCGAAAGTTCGCTCCTCCCACACTAAGAAAACGGGAGGGGAGGGGTCAGCTGAGCTCCTCTGTAAAGGAGCACAGAGAGGGAAAGAGACGAAGTAAATAAACAAGCAGGAAAATGAAACTTATCGGCGTCTTTTTTTTTACCGACCTCAAAAAAAGTTATCGTGCAATTAATTGATTTATTGACTATCGCGACAGGCCTACTGCCGCCACATTAATGCCACCCACTGAGCTATTTCCAGATTTTGAAACAGTGTGTTTATAAATACATCCATCTAGATAATAGCTGAGTAACCCTGTCTCTCTCTTCTTTTTCTTCCTTTTTTTTTCTACATCAGCCCACTGCTAGTTTGACAGGATTGCCTGTTTGTCCATCCCCATTCTAAGTATTTTATTTTAATTAAAAGTAGGAGTATTATCACTGAATTGGAGATTGGTGTGAGAACATCTGTCTTTGGTTCAGTAATTTCATGCAATAACAAATTATTATTATTTTAACTAAAGTAAACATCATTATCATCTTATGTCAAAAGGCTATACATTGTTTGCTAATTGTTTGTGTTAGCAAAATATCTTAAAAACAACTGAACAGAATTTAAGAAGTCTCTTAAAATAATTACTGGATGCAAAGCTACAATTGAGGAACTTTTAAGGTCAGCCCTGTTCAAGATAGGGTCCACAGCTAAAACAAACAAACAAACATAAAAACACCATACATGGCTATAACTTGGTTAGTTTTACAGATATGGAGCTAAAGTTTGATGTGGTCATATCTGAGAGTCATCCCCAACACATACTCTTATCATACAGTAGTGGTGCAATGTTTTTGAAGGAAACACTGATCTAAATATAATGTTAGAAGATTGCTGCGGTACTTCCTGCCTGTTTGAACATTCCCATGCTCCAACCACAGTTACGGGAGGAGGAGGTGTGGCCGGTGTCCCCCCACAATCAGCTTCATGTCATGCATGCACAAGAATGTAAACTTTGAGAGTGAGATGTTGGAAAGAGACAGATTCCATCTTTGACAAGGTGCACAAACCATTGGGACAAACAAAATGTGACAAGTTTTGCCTCATGACAAACAGAGCAGAGCAGCATGATTCTACATCTTCTGTTCCTTTTAGACTTACTACAGAACAAATCACTTGTAAGAGCTATTAATTGAGGCAGTTAGGTGTTGATTGGTCCAGAATGACATTTCATTTTATTCTTTTGCTATTTATTTATTTATTTAATTTCTTCCTTCCTTCCTTCCTTCCTTCCTTCCTTCCTTCCTTCCTTCCTTCCTTCCTTCCTAAAATGAAATCCTGTGCAGCCAGTTCAGGAGATGGCTGGTTTATTTTGTTGCAGTTTCTTGCTTTGTTTATAAAGTATTAAAATAGTTTAGGAAAGGCAAAAGTGCTGCATGGTTTAACAAGATTCAGGCAAAATGTAGCAAATAAATGTATGTTGCATTTTTTATATTTTTTTCCTTTGTATTTATTACCTAACAAACATGTATAGTTACATTTTTTTAAACAAATTAGAGATCTGTGATATTCTGTGTTAAGTTATTATTGTTGACTGAATTATTTTTTTTTACATAAAATTTGGTCCTCACCAACAATCAGCTGTTTGTTTTTGAGTTTAAGCATGTTTTAATTTTCAGATTGGCCATGATTAAAGTAAAAATACAGTTTTTCTTTTAGTCAAATAAAATCAGGGAATTTAACCTAATGAAAAAAAAATCTAGTTTGCAATAGCCTTCAGCTGCTAGAAGGGCTGCCATCACTCACTAAAAAGCACTAAGCTGTACATAAGCTCTGTTTTGTATCATCTACATGAACACAAATGCATTAGCTCTGCGTATTAAGTGAGCAACGTTTAAATGTAAAGCATTAATGCAGAAAGTTTCATCCTCTACCGTCACAGCTGCTGTGCATATATTCTGACACATGAAGCTGTCTTTATTCCCAGTCATTGCTGTGAGATGAGCTCTTAAGCTTTAATAATGAACCCATATGACTGTAGCTGTTCTCAGCTGATTAACTTTCTGTTCAATTTTTAGCTGTTCTTTAAAAACTTGGGTCAAAACTAGACTTTTTGTGATACAGCAAAGAAAGGAAGTCTATCTAGTCTTTTAGAAACTCTGTACTGTGTTTATTTCACAGTAAAGTTGTTCTCATTAAAACGTTTTTCTGCTGCTGCTGTCAGGTGTTGACCTTTGAGAGAAGCTGTGTTGCTTTTGGGCTGTAAATAAAGTTGTGTTTACGAACACAGCTTTAATCCAGAAGCCATTTTCTTTAGGTTTTGAATTTTTGTGATGGGGATCAGAATAATGTATAACTGACTTCAAGCAAGATGACCATGTGCACATGTTAAAGACACTATCAGTGTTGTGGTTTTTCTCCAGATTTACATTTAAATTATTTCTCATAAAGTTATTTTTTTTCTGGTGCACAGCCTTCAGCTGGGTTAGAGGCTTCAAACAACATTTTGCATAATAAAAAAGCTCATTTGCATTTACTTTTACTCACTTTTATCTGTCAATTCCTTGTTAGAATAAAAAAAGAGAAAAAAATGTACTTTAAGTGCCAGTTTAAACAAAACCTACTTTGCGGAGTGGTCTGTGTTGAGTTAATTTAGTCATTTATGAACAATTAATTCCTTTAAACACCATGTGGTGAGAGGGAAAGATTAGGACAAGCCTTAGATAAAACACATCACACACATTAAACACTGTTTTCTTTTTCCGTTGATCACACTGTGCTCATTTTGATGAGTCATTCACTCTTCTTGCATGATTAAATAAGTGTTTGCCATCTGAGCTGTTACAGATGAGTTAAATTCCCTAGCTGTTAATAACTGGTGTGATTTTTAACTCTGTTTTTGTTAATGCAGATATCAAGTTATTAGCACCCCCACAGATATCTTCATGGTCATGGAATATGTCTCCGGTGGAGAGCTCTTCGATTACATCTGCAAAAATGGAAAGGTAATAAACAATAATACTGGAGCTGGTATTAATATTTTATATACATTTTCTATTTTCTGTAAATGTGTTGGGAATTTTATAGGTGGTTTATGCGTTTGTTTTGAATGATAGCCTGTGTGTAAATATGACGTGATCTTTGACCTGTGTGAATCAGAACCAGCAGTAAAAAAAAAAAAAAAAAAGTTAACTACTGCTTAAGGGATTTTCTGGCTATTTAAAAGTATAAGCAGTGAATTAAAGGTTACTCACCTTAAGTCATGCAGCTGAAAAACCCTCTAATGAAAGTGAAGTCTCAGGACAGAGATGTGTGCTGCTGCCTTTTTCTTTTAGCTGGGTCTGTATATTCCTTCATTTTCACCAGTTTAATAGATAACTGGGGAGAGGCAGTTTATTTGTATTCTGACAGTAAAGCTAAGCTCACCCATGATTGTTTTTATTCCACTTTATAATCCTTTCCAAGTAAACTACAGAAACAGATGTTGGTATTCTTTGATTTTTTTTAATCTTCTTTCTTTTCTTTTTTTCAGAAAGGTGTTTTTACTAAAAAGGCACCCTGACTGTAAAATCATTGTCACAAAACAATTTACCCTCTTCCAGTGTAAAACCAAACAAAACAAAAAATCATAGACATTTGTGATAGTTCCATTATTTCTTCGAATCACCTCTCCTGCCTCATTCAGAGTATTTCCACTAAAGCCCACTTCAGAAGGAGCAAAAATATCCCTTCAGGTCTCAATGAAGGTAACCCATTGTCATTTCTTTTGCTTTTACCAGCTGGAAGAGAAGGAGAGTCGTCGGCTGTTCCAGCAGATTATTTCTGCGGTGGACTACTGCCACAGACACATGGTGGTACACCGAGACCTCAAGCCTGAGAATGTGCTGCTCGATGCACACATGAACGCTAAAATTGCAGATTTTGGTAGGTTTCCAGTGTTAAACTCGAGAGACTTGTGAAAAGCGTTGTGGTGTTGTGTTTGCTACTTCGCACAAAGAAAGGATTTTGCAGCGTACGGTTTTTGGAACAGAATCATTTATTTTATTTATTTATTTTTTTTGGTGTGTATTTAAGGATATTATTGAGCTAACACATCACAGTAATCTTCCAACGGTCCTAATAGTTGCTGCTGCTTTGCAGGTCTGTCAAACATGATGTCAGATGGAGAGTTTTTGAGAACAAGTTGTGGTTCTCCAAACTATGCTGCTCCTGAGGTCATTTCAGGAAGGTAATGTCTTTACTTATTTCTGTGGTTACGCTTCATAAGTTTACTATACATTACTGTAGGGCTGCAAAAATAAATCAATAAAATAGATAAAAATCGATTATTAAAATAATCGTTAGTTGGAGCCCTACATTATTGGCTCTGGGAGGGGAGTTTTTGGACATATCGAGGGGAGGGGAGAGGCGGTAGCTCTACGATGAAAATGCTTGGTTGAAGTTTGATAGACGGGGCAAGCGGTTCTATTGGAAAATGATGGGGGACATGTTTTGGTCAATCCAAAACTGCCACAGATTAATCAGATGTCACATTAGGATAGGGCTGGGCAATTAATCAGATTTTGATCTTGATTACGATTTGGGTTTTCAGCGATCATAAAAACATAATGATCGATCAGTTTACGTCAGGCCGTTTAATTTCCGTGATGCGAAAAACACGGACGGAATCCAGTCATGGAATCCAGTGTAAAACGCAGAATCTCACAGAGGTCGCTTATTTGTGCGAGTTTCTGAGGTATTTTGACCGCTGCTGCTCCCATTACCTGCCCTTACCTGGTAACAGGCGCGCGGAGTGAGCTCTGACTGAGCTCCTCTCCAGACACAGGAGGAGGGGGAGAAGAAAAAAAGCTGCGACTCGCACGGCGAACAGCAAACTCACTAAAAGCAACATCCTCCAAAAATATGAAGCTAGGATAAAGTTTAGGACAGAACAAAACCCCAGCGGTTATTTATTTATCTGTAGAAAAACTTTCCTGTAAGTTTTGTCAGCACATGATGGGCTGGATGCTGTGAAGACCACTTCCTCTCTGAGTCACAGACAGAGGGGCAGGTGAGAGACGCGCTGAAAACTCCTCAACACTCAGTGAGGTGGGATTCTGGGTGGGAGATTATCCGAGATTTTGTTGTTGTGTGCAGAATTAGATATTCCTTTAGTAAAAATGAAAAAGCCATGTCCATTTTTTGATAAAGCACTGTAAACAGTGCGTGTGTGCGTCAACTAGGCCTGTCGCGATAGTCAATAAATCAATTAATCGCACGATAACTTTTTTTGAGGTCGGTAAAAAAAAGACGGCGATAAGTTTCATTTTCCTGCTTGTTTGTTTACTTCGTCTCTCTCCCTCTCTGTGCTCCGCTGCACAGGAGCTCAGCTGACCCCTCCCCTCCTGTTTTCTTAGTGTGGGAGGAGCGAACTCTCGCTTTAGCGTGAGAGCTAGTTCCTAAAGTAACGCTTCAAAGCAGAACGCGGCTGCTGAAGTGTTGGGAGCACTAGAACCTGGATTTTGCTGCGGAGGGAGAGAGGGAGAGAGAGACGGAGTGAGACAGAGTGAGAGAGAGAGAGAGAAAGAGAGACAGAGAGAGAGAAGGAGGAGAAGGGTGGGGGCTGAAACTCCCCCAGACCCGCGACAAACTCGTCAAGACTTTACCTGTAGCTCCCAAAAATAACAGGAAACTTAAACGCAGCATCTGTGTTTTAACAAAACACCCAAAAAACCAGTAGCTGTCCCAACAACTCATGAGGAAAACTCTGAACTGTCTGATTTCCTCCCCGCAGCGCTCTGACTGTCCCCTCCTCACACACACACACAGACACGTTTGTTCTTCTATCCTCATGGGGACTTTGCATTGACTTTCATTCATTTACCAGTATTTCCTATTACCATTTGACCCTAAACCTAGCCTACACTTTACATGGGATGTGAACTGGGCTTATGTCCCCATAAGAAACAGTGGGTCCTCACCAGGCTGTGTAATTTGCTTCATCTCTAAAGAGATGCTGTTCTTTAATATTGTTTATTTACTGTCTTAGTTGTGTGTGGTGTTTAATTTACATTTTGTTGTTCTTTGTTGTTTTTTTTTATTCAAGTGCATTTTTTTGTTAGAGACTGAGAGTCCACTTTGTTAAACATTCTTTTAAAAATGAAAGTTTATTGATTTATTACACTTACACATTACGCTTTTATAATTATTAGTTGTAAAACGGTCACCAGGCAATATCGCAATATCGTTTATCGCAATAAATTTTGAGACAATTAATCGCCCAGCAAAATTTGTTATCGTGACAGGCCTAGCGTCAACTTACATTAAGTAAATGAGCTTAGATCCTATTCTGTTGCTGTTTGTAGGTTTTGTTTCTTTGACATATTTAATGTTAAGGTTAGTTCTAAAACATTTTTATCTTACAAAAGATAACTTCTGTTTTACACGTGCTTTTCTTAGTAAATAAACAAAAGTAATTTAATGCTGAACCACAGCTATTTGTTATATTAGTGAAAGTATGTGTTCAATTATTGTTCAGTCACTTTTTAATTACACACTGTTTAGTTTAATAAATAAGGTTACAATGAAAATGTGTAATTTAGGGGAAAAAGTGAAATTTGGAAAAATAAAAACGGAAAAAACAAAATTTGAAAAAATAAAACAGTTTTTATAGGGCCCTATCGCTGTTTTGTGTTGTGAATCCAGTGCCACTGCCAGCAGTATGCTGCAGGCTTCTCCCACAGAGTGAAACTTTGTCTAACTTTTTCAAAAATATGTGAAATCCTAAGGGAAACATTGTTTAACAGCCATGGTTTATGTTCAGTAAATTCATGTTGTCAAAGTGAATGAATAATTTTGTTAAATAATCTAGCTCTCAGTTTCAATCAAAATAATTGTGATTATATTTTTGCAATAATCGAGCAGCCCTACATTAGGATTATTTAATGTATGATCATTGCTTTAGTGTTGGTTTCTTTTTGCCTGTCCTCAGATTGTATGCTGGCCCAGAGGTGGATATATGGAGTAGTGGTGTTATTCTCTACGCTTTGTTGTGTGGGACACTCCCCTTTGATGATGATCATGTGCCAACACTCTTTAAAAAGATTTGCGATGGCATCTTTTTCACGCCCCAGTATCTGAACCCTCAAGTAGTTAGCCTCCTTAAACACATGCTGCAAGTGGATCCAATGAAGAGGGCTACCATTAAAGAGATCCGGTAAGATCCATGAGATCTTTTCTAGGCTGTTTTGTCAAAAATAAGTTTGTGACGTTTGTTCCAATTGTGTCCTCCTCACAGAGAAGATGAGTGGTTCAAACATGATCTACCCAAGTACTTGTTTCCCGAGGATCCCTCCTACAGCAACAACATGATTGATGACGAGGCCCTGAAGGAGGTCTGTGAGAAATTTGAATGCACAGAAGAGGAGGTACTTGCCTGCCTTTACAGTCGCAACCACCAGGACCCTTTAGCCGTCGCCTACCATCTCATTATCGACAATCGTCGCATCATGAGCGAAGCAAAGGACTTTTACCTGGCGTCAAGCCCTCCAGACTCTTTTCTAGACGACCAGCACCTGACTTCGTCCGGTGCAGCTGTGGCCGGCATCATCAAGCCGCACCCTGAGCGCGTGCCTTTTCTCGTGGCAGAAACGCCGCCCCGACCTCGCCACACGCTGGATGAACTGAACCCCCAGAAGTCCAAACACCAGGGTGTTAGACGAGCCAAGTGGCACCTGGGGATCCGCAGTCAGAGCCGACCCAACGACATCATGACAGAAGTGTGCCGGGCCATGAAACAGCTGGATTATGAGTGGAAGGTAAAGAAAAATATGTCCATTCGAGCTTTATAGAGAAGAAAATAAGTCTGAGATAATGTGGTTTTCACATTTGAGAGTGGAATTTAGTTATTTATTTTTTCCTAGTGTTTCAAAAAATAATTCTGGTTTCTCTTCTAGGTTGTGAATCCTTATTATCTGCGTGTGAGAAGGAAGAATCCCGTTACAGGAATGCAAACCAAGATGAGCCTTCAACTCTACCAAGTGGACAGTAGAACCTACCTCCTCGACTTTCGTAGCATAGACGGTAAGTTTTCCCACACTCCTCTGTATGGTCGGATTTAGTTCATCCCTCATTTTCACTGTCATCTTATCAGGTGATGTAACAGAGAAAAATAAACAATACGTTGCTGGATTGTAGAACAGAACAGTCTGGTGTAGAGTCAGGTGTCTACGCAAAACAAAACAGATCCTGATGAAGAGCGGTCAGACAGCAAGTCGCGTATCAAATCATTTACTTGTGTGACGGTAAAAAGAGTGAACTAAATATTTCTACTGTTCAAGAAGACAGCGATACCTTTATTTCAAGTCTGATTGTTTATTTTTCACCTGCTAGTTTTTGTAATATAATCCAGTCAGGCCACATAATGGTGTTTTTGTGTGTAAAGTCTATCTTCTTCAAGTTGGTGCTCTATAATATATTTCATCATGTCTCAGTGGATTTATTGTCATAATTAGCACTACTGAATAACTGAAATTGAAAAAAAAAAAAAAACCTGAATAGCACTTTAATGTTGAATCGGGTACTGTAGTTGGCCCAAAATGTAGCTCTTAAGCTTGAAAAGTAGCTCCCTGTGTTTGTCTGGGTCTGTATTGTAGAATGTCTTAATATAGACCTCGTCAATAATTGACTCAGAGTTTAGGCCTTTCGGAAATAAGTGTAAAGGTTTGGCAGCGCCTCAAAGGAAACGTTAGGAGTGTTTTATGACCTATTTCCTAGCATACTTCAAAAACGGTTAAAGGGTTATTTTAGATCTTCTGAAGTGGAGCCCTGTGGAAACGTTATGAACTAATATTTTACTCTTTCAGTGATTTCAGCTTGGAAAACTAGTTTAGTTCTGACCAGGTTGATGAGCTAATGACTGGTATGAGCAAGAACAAGTGGATTGCTGCGCTGGTAAACAGCTCCAGTAACAGAATAGAAATTTGTTTTATAAGCTGTCCTTTGGGGGTTTGAGTTATTGTTTTTTAAGACATATATTGTTGAGCTTATATTGTAATGTTATTAGGCCTGTCACAATAACACATCTTGCTGGACAATAAATTATCTCAGAAATTATTGTGATAAACAATATTGTTTGGAGACTAATATAATGACTCACCCCAACGCTTACGGAAGTTTTCTGGAAAATAACACACAACAACAGATACTGAAACTGTATAATCACTACCCACCTCCTCTCTCCAAGTCGACACAATTTATTCTTTATATCAGGGGTTCTTAACCTTTTTGACCTCGGGGCCCAATTTGTTGAACATAAAGTCAGACATTACCAATGTACGGATCAGAATGATAATTATTAGAATCTAAATATTGGTTTAATTTTTATTGTATTTACATCATAACTAAACTATCATAACTAACATAACTAAATTAAATACACTTAGTTTGAAAGTAAATTTCCTGTCAAATAATCACAAGACATGATTATAACAAACATTTTTATATTGTAACCTGCCCATAACAATTATTTGAACAAATACAAAGGTCAGTCAACAGACCACTCAGGCTTATCAACACAAAAATATATATATTTTTGACATAAACAATAACAAAAATAGTTCAAAAAATAAATTGTGGGCATAAAATAAATAAATTAGAAATGTTTAATGTAAATGTTTCAAATAAAAAAGTTGCAAAAATAAATTTGATAAAGTACAAATGAAAATATAGCCTTTTTAAACTTTTGCAACCAGAAGCTGCTCTTCATATTAGTGACAAACAATAACAGTAACACCAGCTTTTTGACAAGTTTAAATTTTCTTTAAAATACTTTCAAAATGTTTAAAAATAAACTACAAAAATTAATTTAAAATGCAAATTAAAAATATTGTTGTATCTGCAACTGTATTTGATAATGTTTTGAATTTTTAAAATATTACRTGTTAAAAACAGAAGCTGCACTTCAAATAAGTGAAAAACTTTGGCATTTTTTGATGGATTACCTTCATTTTTGCTTCTACTTTTCATTTAAAATAGGTTTCCATTCTCGGCAGGTTTCTGCTGTTCTTCTTCTCATATTAAAAAAGTTGTTAAACATTTGAGTGGTGCACTACCGCTACTAGTGTTGAGAAAGTGTATTGCACCTTATTCAAAATCAATGCGGTCCCACGGCCCTCCGCGGCCCGAAGTTAAAAACTATTGTTCTTTTGAGGCCCTCAAGGTGGCGCTCGCGTCCCACAATTGGGCCGCGGCCCATAGGATAAGAATCTCTGCTTTATATGTCTTCCTCTGGCTTCATAAAATAACTGGTCATGCTCACGCTGCTTACGAAATTACGAGTGTAGTGGAACTAATACTTTTAGGTTTAAGCCAGTAATTCATGACATCCTTTAATGACCTAGGTTTTCATGACATGCTGTTCATCAGCAGATAGAGTGATTAAAGTCAGAACAAGATTTGCTAACAACAGTCATTCTTAGATATCACTTGTGTTTATCTTTGTGTTTTCCCTTGACCTTGTATCAAATCTTGCTAAGATGACATAATGGTGTTTGTTAATATAAATATGAGGCCTCTCGAGTGAGTGACACATATGGTGACAGACACAGAGGCACAGAGACAGTGCAGGTTGTTCTCTGTGTTTCCTGTTGTTGCAATAAAACTCAGCTGATCATTTCCACGGAGTACTTTCATTCTTGGACCACGTATTTCTGCCTTTGTTAAATAAATATTGCCATAACAACGAGCATAGTGAAATTTACATAAAGTTACGAACGGACCGGGAACGGAGACTGAAAGTAGGAAACTGGAAGACGCTCCTCTTGTTAAATGCCTGTTCACAGGGCTCTCATGCTACAGAGGTTACGAGACCATGCACCTGGCAAATACCTGACCCAGAGTTCACTCCTCTACACTAAAGGAGGAGAGGGAGCAAAGAGGGAGACGCATAGAAAACAAACTGGCAAATGAAGATTAACTACTTCAAGTCAATTTATTGTGCAATTATTTGACAGGTCTAAATGTTTTTATTATTATTAATAATATATTTTTTTGCACAAGTTGTTAAAAAACCAAGTGTGTCCTGTGTTGTTCAGATGACATGGTGGAGACTAAGTCTGGAACTGCAACTCCTCTCCGCTCCGGCTCTGTGAGCAACTACCGCACCTCTGCAAAGAACGACATAGACAGGGGAGATGTTTCAGCCACATCCGACTCTGCGCAGCCCACCAAGACCGCCGAAGGTTCCTTAGGGTCGTCCTTGACTTCCTCCATTGATTCAACAGGAGGGGGAGACAACACATCTTCCCCTCGACCAGGAAGTCACACCATCGAGTTCTTTGAAATGTGCGCAAATCTAATTAAACTACTTGCACGATAGCTTGCAAAACAATCATTGCTAGCCTTTTCTTCTCTGAGTGTCTTTATAGCAATAAGCATGCAACCGATTCATGGCTTACTTCATCCTGGCTGAGGATGAAGAGGTTGTTCCATGGCAGGTTGGTGTTCCCTCATCTGTAGGGATTTATACTGAGCTGACTGGGTCTGTAGGAATTATTCAGGAAGAGCTACTAGCTAGGACAGAACAACATTTGACGGGGGGGTCTTCAAATTTTCCAATTATTTTAAAAGCAGATGTCCACATCCCACCTATACATCATGCGGAAGTGATAACACTGAACGTTCTGTACTGTAGCCTGTGAGGTGAGCTTTTCCCTACAGAGAACAAGATCGCATTTTTTTATTTTTTTTGCCTGCAGAGGAGGAAGCCACATGTTAAGAACTCGGGTGACAGTCATAGGATGCAGGAAGCACTTTTGCACAAGTTTCTGTAATATTCTGCTGCTTTTTTTTTTTGTTTGTTTCTTTCCAGTAGGGGCCAGAGAAGTGGCGCAGAAAGATGGGGGCGCTGCGGTGTCCCCCATTTTTCTGCCACGTGTCAGGGACAAACGAATGCTTCAACAGATTAGTTTTTATTTTTGTTCTTAAATGTCAGATGCTCATGTTTTGTCCTTGGTGTGAACAGTTGTTTGAATGTGTTTGTCCCCCTTTGTTTTATATACAAAGACCTGAACATATTTATCAATGCATTTAGGTGGTTGAAGACTTTTTTTTATTATTAATCTCTATTGCTGGATGATTGAATATAATTGTATAGTTCTTATTTCTTTTACTGTTTTTAAGTCTGTCACAATTTTGTTTTCCTTCAATCACAATTATTCTGATACTTGATTGTCTTTCTAGAAAACTAGATTTTACCATTTAGATGTTTTGCTATGACAGTCATAATCTAGAAATATATCATTTTCAGTGTAACGTTTTAAAACAAGTTGATTATGACTTTTTGTTTATAGTTTTTTTTCCTCATTTTGGATTAATGAACATGATTTAAATTTAAGTGAGTGAAATGCCTTTTGCCTAAGTTCATTTCATACATGCCAATCAGTCAGAGTTTTAAATGAATAGCAGTTCCATGCAGTGTGTCGACAGCGTCTGTTGGCAGGTGAATACAGCTGACTTTTTATTTTTTGCTTTTTGTTCACACATTCCTTTTGAAGGTTTGACGTTTAACCCACTATCCTCCAAACTTGCAAGCTTGAAATTTTCAGGTACTGTAAATGTTGACCGGGAAACAAAATGTTTAGGAATGTAAACAAGATTAATGTTTGATAAAAACTGTCAGAACAATAAATTTGCAAGTTAAAGGTCTTAGATGTGTTTTTAGCTACAGTGCAGCTCATTCCCTTTCCTATCCACAGTCTTAAAGTTTTCAGCTGTGTCTGCCTTATCACTCTGTACAGTTCAATTTTTTTTTTTTTTTGGAAGTTTGACATAACTGATCAGATTTATTGGCTAACTTATTTTAAAAGTTGAAATCCACATTTTATATTTTCATTGTTTTAATAGCACAGCTAGTTTAAAAGTTAAGCCTTATTTTGTCATTTAAAGAAAAAAAATTCCTGAATGTTGCCAGACTTAATGACATCAGCAACAGTTAACTTCATTATTAATGATAGAAGTGAAGTATGAGTGAAATTTGTTTCTAGAGATTTTTTTAAATTATTTTTATCTTTGGATTTCGGAATGTTGCACATTTCTGATGAAAGACCTAAAGTTTGATTTGGTTTTGATATGAAGTATGGCTCTCTGCAGCTTTAATGATTCAAACTGATTTATGCACTTGATTTAGATTTTAGAGGTATGTTCACAAAATTGCTAAGCGTGACAACAATTGTCCATGTTTTCTTTTACTGTACCAACGAGCCTGACCTAAAATTTTTAGTTGACTTTTGACTTGTACTTCTCCGTTTTAACCAGAGTTAAAAGCAATTATTAAAGACACGTTAAAACCTAACCCTTTTTTTTTTTTAAGTTTTAGACCATTACAAGTGTTGTAAACAAAAACTTGTCATGCTGTATGTGATGGGATTTGTTGGAAAGATGAATGTGTGCAAAAATAAAAACATTTTGCCAGCTTTTGACAAAAAAAAATCTCCGGAGAGACTTAAGTTTTATGTCTGATGGAGCAGTTTCCAAACATTGCTCTGTTTTTGTTTGGTGTGAAAGAGAGCCCTAATGAATGGATCGTTGAATGAAAAGCATTGAGTCATTTGTATACACGATGGCCTAATAAACTGCTAATAAATTATATGCTGGTGTTTGGAAGGTTATTTTATTCGTTGTAGTATTTTGACTACTCTAAAGCAAAAATAATCAAAGTCCCAAACATGAGTAATACAATAAAAAACTTAACTTTACAAGATATTCTGATCAGTCTAATCCAAATCTACATCTAAAAGTCTTGAGTTATCCGTCATTGTAAACAGCATACACAACTTTATCCTTCAACATGGTCTTGACCAAAATTAAGGACAATCCAGTTCTGCCTACACGTAATAGACTACTTAAAACACATTAAATTCAAGT